CTTATGAATAAAACACAAAAACAAACGCAAAAAAGAAACATCAACCAAACTAAACGAAGAAAAAAGGAACTTAGAAAGAGCAACACAAAATAAAAACAAATGAAAGAATTTGTGTGAACTACTCAGAAACTATGCGAAAAGAGAAAAACAAAAGCAAAACAAAACAAAAAATACCAAATTTGTTTCCTTTTTTTGTACTACACACAGACACACACACACATGTACACACAATCAGTACAACAGCTTAAAGTCTAATACTGAAATTTGGCAATGCTGTTAAGTTCCATGTACATGCTGAGCTTGTCCGTTTAATCAGAGCGTAAATAATGAAATTTGGCAACGTTGATCAATTGACTTACGGCAATTCAGCTTCGAAAGGGAAATTCGACAACGCTGCGTTGAAAATTGTCAACTGAAGTTTGGCAACGCTGCCTAAATTTGTTTGGCAGCTTAAGCCTGGCCACACCGACGACTTAAGCACTTGTTGCTGCTGAACATTGGCAACGCTGCATAGCAAAGAATTAAATGAGATTTGTCAACGTTGTAGGCAATGCAGCCATTAGTTGAGGGGGTTAGCTGAATCTCAATGGAACAACACATTTGTTGCAGCTCAGATTTCGGACAATTGATAGCTGAAAATTGGCAACGTTGCAGCGCATTTGCCATATTACCTTTCCGCTATTCCCAATTTGATTTCAGTTCTATTCATTATTCAAATTTTTTATCCAATTGTTTTGCCATTATCTTTTGGACGTTTTCGATGACTCTTTGGGCTGCTACAAGTGGGTAACTGAAGTGCGGCAACAGCGCCAAATACATAAAAACAACTGAAAGATACAAAAACAACAGCAACAACAGCACTCGCATAATTTTTTTTTCTATATATGAAATGAAAGTAGATAAAAGTTGAATGCATAAAATGAAGGATAAAGAAGAAGAAAAAGATAAAGCACTAACCTACAAGATAGGTGCACACATACATATATAGCTATATGTATATGTGAGCCTACTTAAATAGATGTCCCGCCCCTTGAACAGCAATCGATTTAAAGGAATATTATAATAATACATTTTTTAATGAAAGAGACTCGTGTTTATTTCTTCGATTTTGTGCTTAAAGTACGGCCACATCTACATGGCGAGCGGGCACACTGAGAAAAATGATAACGAAGAAGAAAAGAATACTTAAGTTAGTTAAACGAAGAACTTAAGCGCGGCGAACAAAAGTTGAAAACACCAAATTTTAAATATATATATACATACATGTAAAACCATATATATGTATGAAGGATGTAAAATTTTTATA